AACCTTCTGGAAGTTGTCTGGGTGCAGCTGTTGGCTCTCACATTAGCTTGTCCCACGTGTCCCTGTTCACCGGGAGGGGGCCCCCTCCCCAGGGGCCTTCCTTGCTGCCCACATGGGGGTCAGTAGGAAGCAGGCTATCCCTGAGGAAGAGCATTGAGGTGCTGAGAGAAGTCAGGGGGACTGCTTTTCGGGGAGATGTTGTTTGTTTCAGGAAATCTGTAGCATCGTCCCAGTCTTCAGAAAGACAAAGAAAACTGCTGTGACATAGACGTTGGCTCTGTCCCTGGTCTTCCCCCATCTGATCCATTCCACCCTGTCAGATGCCCCATCGGGCCTGACAAGCTGGCTCCCACATAACAGCTCACCCTTCACTTCAGGCTGTCGCTGTCACAAGCATCTATATTCGTCACCTCATCTTGGGGACAAGAATGCAAAGTTTGTTATCGAGAAAGACAGTATTTGTTAATGCATTCTAAGAGCACAAGTTACAGTTGGCAAAACATAGACTTTTTTTTCCCCCTGAGAAATGTAACTTAATTTTTCAGTGTGGGATTCATTTCAGCATCGTTAACTCAAAGCTTCTCAGACGAAACCCATTAGGGATCAATCATTCTCTCTCTACCACAGGGAACGGCAATAACTTTGTCATTCTTTCCACTTTGGGTTTTATTAGTATCCGGTCATTGATTTCCCTGTCCACTGACTTAACCTCAGCTTCCCATCTGCTTTGACATCTAAATGACAATACTGTGGAAGTTGTACTTCTTTGTCAGTAACTCTTAGAATTCAGTTGGGGGCTGAGAAAAGCAAGGGGGGGAGGGGGCGGGAGGTGAATGGCTTATTCTGAGTCTACTTTAAAAGGAGGAAAGAGCCCTAACCGGTTTGGCTCAGTGGATAGAGTGTCAGCCTTCGGACTCAAGGGTCCCGGGTTCAATTCCGGTCAAGGGCATGTACCTTGGTTTCGGGCACCTCCCCAGTAGGGATTGTGCAGGAGGCAGCTGATCAATGTTTCTCTCTCATCGATGTTTCTAACTCTCTATCCCTCTCCCTTCCTCTCTTGTAAAATATATATATATAAAAAAAGAAATAAAAAAAATAAATAAAAGGAGGAAAGAGCATCACAGACAGGACATTTCTCTGCAGACGATGGATGCTTTGGTAATGGGACAGGCCCCGGAGCTCTGTCCCCACAGGCAGGCACACAGGTGGCATCTGGGCGTTGGAAATTGAGGAGAGGGAAGCGGAGAATGGAACATTCCAGAACGCGGACTTGGGCAGTACGTGGGCAGAAACAGAGCCGTGTTCTGGCTGTCACCTTGGGCTCGGAAACCTCACTGTCACCCTTAGACATGTCTGTTAAAAGTCATATTGTTGTGAACAATCACCCAGCCATTCATTTGTCCCTCCTCATGGGATCAAGCCTTGGGTTGTTGAGGGAGTGCATGGAAGTCATTGGCCAGCTCCGTGAAGCAAGTCCTGGATGGCCACCATATCACCTCCTCAGGGCTGGTGAGAATGAGGTGATTGGGTTTAGTTTGTCTTGGAGAGAGATACATGTCAGAAGATTCCCCTGTCAGCAAACATCACCATCAATAACTAAGCTGTGTGGCTAGAACTGTGCCTGACTTCATGAGTTCCTCAGTCCTCAGATGCTAGAATAGGGGTGGGCAAACTTTTTGACTCGAGGGCCACAATGGGTTCTTAAACTGGACCGGAGGGCCGGAACAAAAGCATGGATGGAGTGTTTGTGTGAACTAATATAAATTCAAAGTAAACATCATTACATAAAAGGGTACGGTCTTTTTTTTTTTTTTTAGTTTTATTCATTTCAAACGGGCCGGATCCGGCCCGTGGGCCGTAGTTTGCCCATGGCTGTGCTAGAAGGTGGGTCTTGAGCCACGCTGACCCCAGGCCTGGTTCCTTTGGCATCAGCGGTGTGCCCTCCCTCAGTACCATTGGCTGGGCCGTCTCTAAGTGGAGTACAAATTCATTGTGGCGTAGCGTGGAGAGGAAATGGTAGGGCCCACTCATGGAACGGCTATCGCCAGAGAGAGGTGTGTGTGGAGGGTTTGCAGCAGGAATTGAATTTGAAATGGAATTTAGGAGCACTTTAAAAAATGTATGTGTTGGTTTGAGAGAGAGAAACAGCGATTTGTCATTCCACTTATTGATGCATTCATTGGTTGACTCTTGTACGTGTGTCCTGACTGGGGGTCAAACCCACAACTTTGGCGCTTCGGGACGATGCTCTAACCAATGAGCTACCCAGCCAGGGCCTGGGAGCATTTTTCATGACATTTCCTTCTGCTTAAGGGACCATTTGAGCAAGAATGGCTTTACCTCTTTCTTACAGACATTTCTTACAGAAATTTCTTACAGAAATTTCAATCGTTGTAACTGTTGATATTTGGCTCTGTTGACTAATGAGTTTGCCGACCACTACCCTGGGTGATCTGGGACCACTTCAGGGATTCTTTTTTTTTTAAAAATATATATATTTTATTAATTTTTTACAGAGAGGAAGGGAGAGAGATAGTTAGAAACATCGATCACCTGCCTCCTGCACACCTCCCACTGGGAATGTGCCCGCAACCAAGGTACATGCCCTTGACTGGAATTGAACCTGGGACCCTTCAGTCTGCAGTCCCACGCTCTATCCACTGAGCCAAACTGGTTAGAGCTCCTCCAGGGATTCTGATCCCATGAAGAGAATGGTCCCGCAACCCCCCGCTGGCCTGAAGAAGGTGCTATTTCCCAGGAAAAGGAGTGAAGTGCCCCCAGAAACGCATAGGGCCACAGTGGGACGAGAAAGCACAGCCTGCATCCTACTCTGCCTCTGTGGGGTGAAACTGAGCTTTCTGTGGAAGGTAACTTTCCGCATCTCTTTCCAGGGGTCAGGCCGGCCCCAAAAGGCTTTGTTTGACTTGCTGATCTTGTGACAAAGCCTTGGTGCCCAGCGGAGCTTCCTGTCTTTGCGGACTGGTTATCTGGGGGGATTTTCTCCCTCAGGAGACTCCGGGAAAGGCTCTAAAAATAGACAGCATGGCTGCTTATTGGGGAGAACGTGTGCACAGATGTCAGCTGGCAAGGGCGTCCGAGACAATGTGATCGCAGGCGCTACAGAGGCCTGGGCGTGGGCTCCTCCCTGCCATGCGGGTTATCCAGGGTCCCAGGTCCCCGCTAGAGAGGGCTTCACTGGGAAGTGGGATCCATGCAAGTGTGCAAACAGGTGGCTGGGGATCTTGTGAGTTTGCTGAATGCCGGCGAGGGTAAGCTCCAGGGCAGGGCAAAGTCTTTCCTACCAGTTTTCACGTCGAGAGATAAGAGGCACAAATCTGGAAAACACACAAAATGAGGAGTCCATACGACCGCTGTCTTCTGTCAAAAACAGTTCTCAGGTCAGGTCTGCATCGCGACAGGTGTTTCTAGGAGATGTGCCCCTGGTGAATTTCCAGGCTGTGCCTGGAGTGAGGAGAGAAGTATATTCATGCCGGGCCTGGAAGGCAGTCAGGGGTTCATCTATTCACTAGGTTAGGTAACTCACGTATCACATCCCTTGACTACATTTTATTTTTCAGTCTCTTTTATATATATACTAGAAGCCCATTGCAGGAAGATTCCTGCAAGAATAGGGCTTCCTCAGGCCTATTCCTGCAAGAATAGGGCTTCCTGCTTCTCCCCCTTCTCCGCTGCCTCAGCTCCCTCCCTTCTCCGCTGCTTTGCTCCCTTCTGCAGCACTTGGCTTCCTTCTATGCTATCTTCCATCTTCGCTCCGCGCCTGTGTATGCAAATTAACCGCCATCTTTGTTGGGTTAATTTGCATGCTCGCTCTGATTGGCTGGTGGGTGTAGCGGAGGGATGGTCAATTTGCATGTTTCTCTTTTATTAGTGTAGATCATCTCAGCTCAATCTTCTAATAACCCGCAAAGGTCCCCTGATGTCCACTTCATTTTACAGAAACAGGGGCCTGGCAAAATCAGGTGATGTGTCCCAAGGTTTATCGGATCTACCTTATCTCATGCAAAAATCCTGTATTTATACTGGACTCGACTACCCTTAATAATATTTTCTCTTCCATTTTTGGTGTACTTTTTTTTCTTTAAGAAGAATATGGTGGGCCATATACAAGTATCAGCTAGTTGCTGATACTTCAAAGGAAACAAAGTTCCAAATTTCAGGATGTAATAACCACCATGGCCCGGGCCAGCATGGCTCAGTGGTTGAGCATTGACCTATGACCCAGGAAGTCACGGTTCGATTCCCAGTCAGGGCACATGCCTGGGTTGCGCGGGCTCAATCCCCAGTGGGGGGCGTGCAGGAGGCAGCTGATCCATGATTCTCTCTCATCATTGATGTTTCTATCTCTCTGTCCCTCTCCCTTCCTCTCTGAAATCAATAGAAATATATTTTTTAAAAAAATAGCAACCATGGAAGATACGTTTTATCCCATCCAAGGAGCCCCGAATGTTTCAACTATCGCTGAGCAGCCCCAGACCAATATACACGTGTACTTTGAACTCATTGGAGAAGGAGTTCTCACGTGTGGGTGAGAAATGATGACAGGTGGTTTTAAGAAACCCGAAATCTCGGCCAACCAAATGAAAAGCAGGCTTTTATTCTTAATAGGTAGTCTGTCTTTCGTCAAAGGAGGTCAAGGCCTTCCCTAGCCGTCTTTAATAGAAGTCACGGTATTTATTTTAACATTTCGGTATATAAATTGGACATTGTTATTTTAACACGGGAACATGTTAGGGGGAACGCCGAATCCAGGAGTCTGCCTGCCGGGGAAGGGCCGCCGAAAAGCTGGGCCCAGAACCCAGAGCCCCCTGTAAGTGTTCGGTGTCGCGTCCCCTGCCCCCGAGTAGCAGGGACCTTATATTTCCGGGGAAAATGATAAGAACGTTCATTGAGTCCCTCTCCCGCGTTGAGTCTTTGTATAGCTCTGTGCAAGGCTTCTCGTCAGCCAAATAGCTAATGACTGTGCTTTTTAAAACTCCTAGCTGTCTGCCCAGTTGTTACCACACCCTCTGGCTCAGTGGGCAGCTTCTGCTCCAGGCAGTCCCAGGTGCTCTGTGGGTACCTTGGTGAGTACACTCGTCTGCTTTCTACCTCCTTTCACGTAGTAATAGCGGCTTTATCGCTAGTGTCTGTCTCCTGTGGGGGAAATGGCAGAGGCCACGCAGCCTTGTCGCTGATCCCTCGCAAAGGTGCCCCTGAATTTTGCAGTTAGCCGTCTTCTAGGAGACACACCCACGAATCGCTTGGAAATCCTATGATGGCATGGTTGCCCTAGTGATGGGATGGATTGCGGGGTGTATGGATTGTGTGTTCCAGGGGTCATAGAGTGATTCAAAATATTGACCCCCCCTGGCCCCCATGGAGGAATGCTCTCGGGAGGGCTGACCCAAATGACCAGAATGTCCAGGGTCCCCTTTAGTGTGTGTGTGTATCTTATTTGTATCTACGTCCTTATTCCTGGCACATAGTAGTTGCTCAATTAATGCAAAGGAGATTTTTTCCCCCCTCCCTTTCCTTTGAAGTTCTAGAGGGAGGCCTGTGGGAGAGTTATGCTGCTGCCCTTGTGTGTGACCTTCCTGTTGTCCTTTCTGGGTTGCATGAGAAATGGGCTGTTATGGGTCAAGACCTGGGAGCGTGCCACATGCTCACACCACTTAGCCCCGACTCTCAGAGCCAGTGCCACCTGTCCGGCCCGGGGGTCACTGAAGCCAGAGGTCTCATTCCTTTCTGATTTGGAGCATGAATCAATTCAGCCGGCTTTTCCCGGGTGCCTACTTCATGCAGGGCAATGAGACCACAGCAAAGACGGGATTGAGATGTTGCTGACACCAGAAAAACTCGGTGGCCCGAGGTGCCCTTGACCCGTGCTTAGAAAGAGAGGAAGTGGACCAGTAATGCTGGCCTTGGTTCACGCTGCATGTTTGAGGCTCTGAGAAGGTTTGGATTATATGGATTCTAAATGTGGGCAAAGCTCCCAGATAGGGACAAAAGAAATGTGTTGATTACCCGCATAGAAGTCTGATTCCCTGGCGTAACCTGCTTTGCAATTTATCATGCTTAACTTTGCTTCTTGAGAATCAAGGAAGAAGGTGACTTATTCACAGTGGCCTAAGCTGGGATTTCCTAAAACAAAACAAAACAAAAACAAAAAAACCTTAAAAACAAAACAAAACTGATTCTACCGAGATTATACACTTATTTTTCCCCCCAAAATGCCTCAGAGTGGCTAGCTAGAAGCTGCCACGTGAAAAATAAAAAGTTCTCTTTGGTGAGACAGGTTGTATTTTATAGTCCATCTCTAAAGGTGTGTTTTATTTCACTGTCTTATTAACTAAGGAGTGAACTGTCTGATCCCCCCGCCCCCAGTAGCTTTCTGGAAAAGAAAAGGGGAGGGAAGGAGAGGAGAAAAACGTTCGTTAAACACCCCTTGGTCCTTAAGACACAGCCTCCTGGTCCTCCCCACGTTGGTCGGTTGGGAAGGACCCCAGTAGCAATGCCCATTTTTCTGGAAACCGGCTTAGAGAGGTAGACCCTGGCCCTCCCCTCGAGCTGGCCGGTGTCAGAGCCCAAATCCGAACCCAGGTCTGGCCCCTTGCTCTCCACCACACTGCCCAGACCCCAAACTTTTCGTTGTTTTGGCCTTCCTGTTGCGTCCCCTCGGGAATCCTGCCCCTCAATGTTGTTGTGGGCTTACCTACGACTCTGGATCAATTTCCTTTCCCTCTCCCTCCCTTAGGAAACACGGGAGAGAGAGGCCTCCCAGGGGTGAGGGGTGTTCTGTGTGTGGTTGCTCTTCCCAGACACGCCTCCCTTGGGGTGGCTCTCAGGCATCGCACGGCTGCAAGCTGCCCTCTTTCTCTGATGAAAACACAGGAGAAACCCACCGTGGGGACATCAGGAGCGCCTCCCAGGGTGGGGACAGGGAGCGAGGCAGAGGCTGCCCCCAGAGTCCCCCCCACACCCCGCTTCTAGGCCGCTGGGAAAACCCTGTAGACCCCTCTCGGCCCTTCCACGCGAGACTGCTGAGCGGTGGGGCCCTGCGTTTTATTTTTGTGTGTGTCTCTGTTCTTAGAAATAGTAATTGAGTAAAAATGTAAGTGAGCCGATGCCAAGCGGCAGGCGGCCAGGGTCAGGGTGAGTCTCTCCGTGCTGCGTGCGGCCGGCCGTGCCAAGCAGCTCCAGGGCCATCGCTGTCACCTTGCGTGACCCTCCCCTCCGTCCCAAGGAGCCGCTGGGAGCGGCTGGAGGCAGCGCGGGGCCGGGGGCGCCTTGTGCTTTTCTCACTCGCTCCGGGGGGGGGGGGGATCACGGCTGTGCTGGCCCCAGTGATGATGGAACTGGGGACCCCAAGGCTTCCTCAGCCTTCAACACATAAATTTATTTTTATGGATTTCAGAGAGGAAGGCAGAGGGAGGGAGAGAGAGAAACATCAATGATGAGAGAATCATGGATCGGCTGCCTCCTGCACTGGGGATCGAGCCCACAGACCCGGCATATGTCCTGACCGGGAATGGAACCGTGACCTCCTGGTTCCTAGGTCAAGGCTCAACCACCCCCTGCTGGGTGGATGCAATTGTTCTTGCTCCTCACAGGTCCTGTGGTTGCTAGAGCTTGTTTCTCTTGTTAAAGTCATTATCCCCTTCCTCCGCGCCCCCCCTCCCCCAACTATTGGTTAGGATGTTAGTCGGCCTGAGAGGTTTTCTAATAAAACATAAAAATCCAGAAGATAAGCAACAGTCTGTCCAGGAATGAATGGATTAAGGGTCGGGAAAGCGATTTCAGGTTTGTTTGGGTGGTTATTTTTCTCCACATGTTTACTGAGCAAGAGGCTTTAAGGAGCTGGGGGGAGATTTAAAGATGGTGTTTCTCAGAGTATCTTCCGAGCCCAGCCGGATGGCTCAGTTGGCTGAGTGTCATCCTGTGCACTGTGCACTGAAAAGGTTGTGGGTTCGATTCCCAGTCAGGGCACCTACCTGGGTTGTAGGTTCAACCCCCAAATGGGGCACAGATGGAAGGTAACTGATTGATTTCTCTCTTTCTCCCTGCATGTCCTCAGGTGAGGATTAAAAAATATCTATATATATAAAAGCCTAAATGACTGTTACGACCAGCTGGTAGCTATGATGAGCACTGACCACCAGGGGGCAGACGCTCAATGCAGGAGCTGCCCCCTGGTGGTCAGTGCACTCCCACAGCCAACCTCCTGTGGTCCCTCCCTGTGGTCGGTCAACCTCCCTTGGCCCCTCCTCCTGGCTGGCCAACCACCCGTGGTCCCTCCCCCTAGGCTGGGCGAGATGGCCCTGATTGCTGGCCAGGCCGAGGGACCTCACCTGTGCACGAATTTGTGCACCGGGCCTCTAGTAATAATATAAAAAGTGTCTCCTGAGGTGTCTTTGGAAGCAGATTCCCTGGCCTCTCCTAGACCTGCAGAGGGGGTGGGGCTGGGGTGGGCGGAGACCAGCAATCTGCATATTTGAGTGGCATTTCGGGTCATTCCTGTGTCACTGAGTTTGTTGCTGCTCTGATTGGGTGGGTCTGTTCACTGCAGTCCTAGCCCAGAGGATTCAGATCCCCCGGGGCCTCTTCCACCCACTGGTCCTGCAAGTGCGGGGCCCTCAATCCACAGCCCAGCCACATCTCTCCCCGGACTGTCCATTTCCCCAGATGCACACAGATGTGGAGGTAGACTTGTGAATCCCACGCACCACACCTATTCACCCCGGAGGGGATGGTGGTGCCTGTGCAAGGAAGTCAGTCACCTGGGGAGGGAGGTGGACGCCTAGTGTGGAAGCTGCGCCCAGGAGTGAATTCTCCCACTCAAAGTCCTTCACCTGGGCAACGGTGGAGTGAGAAGATTTTCAAAACCAGTGTGTAATGTGTACGCAACATCTATTTTATAATGTATAAACCGACGGCTAGAGTTTCACCCCCTGCCGACCTCTTCATGGCCCGAATCCTGTTCTGGGACATTCCATCGGCTGAGGCTCCAGCCAACAGTGGGATGTAAAATCTACTCTCTTGGCCAAACTCAGCGTCGAGCCACTGCAACTTTTGCTTTGGAGTTTTTCCTCCGCCAGAGGTTCAGGGCAGGTGAAAATCTGACCGGCTCCCCAGGAGAAGAGTTAGCGCTGAATGACTTGGTCTTTTCTCCTGTTTCCCTGATGCTATTGTGGAACCATCCAGAACAGCTGCTCTCTAACTGCTCTAGCGCGTTTCCGGCCGTCAAATGATTAGAGAAATGCCCATGTCTGCAAGACAGGCCATGTTGCTAAGCAGCCCCCATGGCTGTTGAAGTAGGAAAAGAATGACGGAGGGTGTGAATTCTGCTGCCCGACCAACAAGCCTTCAATGAAAAGAGTCGACATTGACTATGAGTAGAGAGTCTTAAGATCAATGTCAAATGTAGGCAGAGCTCGTGGGAAGACAGAGGTCAAGAGAAGACCTTCCTATGGCAGATGAGTTCATTGAAGAGTATTTGTGGCTGTGTGTCTGCCATGCGTTAAGGCACCCACCTGGGCACTAGTGATACCATCAGTGAATAAAACAGCCCAGAACTTTGCCTTGAGGAGCTCCCCAGGCTAGAAGGGGAAGATGGATAATTCATTGAAAACATAAGGGATGGTAGGATTGGAGAACTGTTATGGGGTGAAAAGAAGAGCAGGGATGGGGATGGGGAAGTGAATTGCAATTTCAAATAAGCTGGCCGAGCCCAGCTGGTGTGGCTCAATGGTTGAGCATCGACGTATGAACCAGGAGGTCACGGTTCAGTTCCCGGTCAAGGGCACATGCCCATCTCCAGTAGGGGGCGTGCAGGAGGCAGCGGATCAGTGATTCTCATCATTGATGTTTCTCTCTCTCTCTCTCTCTCCTTTTCCCTTCTTCTCTCTGAAATCAATGAAAATATATCTTTAAAAATAAATAAGTTGGCCAGGAGGGTCATCAAGAGGGTGGCATTTGAGCAGAGACTAGGAGGAGGTCAGAGAACAGTCCGGGGCTCTCTGGGGAAGAGCATTTCTGGCCGAGGGGACAGCTGGTCCCGTTGCTGACATGTTCCAGCATTATCAGA